CCTCTGCCAAATTTAGACCTGTTGCCACGGCCGAACGAGACCTGCAGAGGTTTATAGACCAGACGACACCGGAGCTGGTTGCTGTATTTGTCTGCTTTGCAAGCTGTTCAGCAGAAAGTGTGTCAGAAGTATCGGCCCTTTATTAGTCACCACCTGTGTGTTTGTGCTGATCACTGGGGCTGAAACCCGGTCCTGTTAACATTACGGTTCTGATGTATTCATATCCCCATCCTCATTATCCTCTCAGTGTGTGTCCCGGGTTCACACTGGGGATCATTTTGCACTCGGCGGTCAACCTGAGACCACACAAACACACAGACTGATTTAGCTTCTCTGGGATTTCATCCACATGAAGTGTGAGGCCTCATTAAGGAAAAAAACGCCTTATTTTTCTCTCTTGACGTCTGAATCAGTTGTTTGTTTCTTTTTATTATAATTTGCATGCAGTCAGCATAGGCGCTCAGATCAGGCTTCACTTCCTCACATTTAGCAGAGAAACATCTCTGCCACAGAGCTGAAAACTGCCTGGGGTGAATTATCCGTCACGGTAAATCCTCAATTTGGTTATGTGGAAGTTTCTGATTTTTTTTCGTCCCCGCTGTGTGCAACTCATTTATTTTACCCTCGAAGCAAGAGCAGAAATTATCCTGAAAATTCAGACTTTTATTCTTAGATCTGTGTGGTATTTTTAGCAAGCTGATGGCAATATAACGATTAAAACAATCACCAAAAGCAAGTTAAACTCTTAAATTTCTGAATAAAATTTCAACAAGCATTGACATTCTTCGTTAAAACCTCTAATATGACAGCTTAAACTAACAAAAAAAAAACTACAGTTTGATGTGTGAACTGTACAAAAAGTGTACAAAGAACCAAGATTTAAATGAACAGTCGCCATGTGGATGCTGAGTCAGCAGCTTAAAGAACATCCATCCAATCTGATGATCGGTCCATAATTAGGAAAGATTTTCCACAGAACGTTGAGGATCGTTCTTTAACAGTGGGATTAAATAATTATTTACCAGACGAGCTTCAAAGGAATGCTCCAGTCTTATCTGGAGTGCTTTTCTTAGCAAACAAATTGGAAGTTCAGAGTTTCGTTCACTTCAAACTCTGGCTTCAGAGGACTGGGTCTCATTGTTGTCAGAGGGGAACTTTGTTGCGTTTTGTCTTCGTTGTACAAAATGTTCTCTTCAAAACTAAATATTGGCTCCGCACTCTGAGACTGTTTTCCCCTCCATATCTCTGCCTTTGAGCTTCTCTTGTTTTGTCTGAAAAGGTTCTGGTTGGTCCACCTGTCTGCAGCTCCACCTCAATCAGCTTCATCTCCATGTTCAAAAACCAACTCGTTTTTTTTTTTTACTCAGATTTATCCCTCGCAGCAATAAAATCAAATCCTTATTTCATAACAAGCGTGTCTCGGCTCGTTTGTGGCCACGTTCAGCCGAGCCCAAAAAAACGTGCTTTTGATGGCGGTGTGCAGCGAAATGCTTGTTTACCCAGTTTTTCCTGGGAGCTCCGATGACAGCAACCCTTCCCCCCCCCCCCCCAATCATAATAATTCTCCACATGGCAGCAGGTGTTCACACTCACACATGAGATTACATCTCTGTGAGTCAGAAATGAGAGGTGAGGAGGCTCGATTGTCAGGTGTGGCAATAAATTTTACATAAAGTGTTTTGTGTGTGTGTGTCTGGGCAACAGTGACAGAGATGAGATAAAATCTGACTCTTTTTGTCCTTTTGACAAAACTTGACCCATCCTTGAATCAAGGATTGAATCAAAATGTAAGAAATAAATACCTTTTTCTACTGGTTCTTTAAATAAATATCTGAAATATGATAATAAATACAATTTAAGCCCTTTTTTTGAGCTGTAGCTTCAAAAACAAAAATATATTTTTTCCCCCTGCGAGCTAGCAAAGCCTTTTCTTTTCTTCCAGCTGGGAAATCTTAACATCCAAATATTGTTTGAAGTTACTTTTTTAAAATTACATAGAAAAATCCTCATTAGAATAATGTAAAAATAGGATTCAGACCAAATATTGATCATTTATCATAATTAGGAAGAAAAATCAAGGCACATCTCTGGAATAGCTCATGATATCAGGATGATCCAGGTGTCAAAATGTAGCTTAAAAAGCAGGAATCAGCTTCAGTCATGTGACCAAATTGGACCTAATCCTCAGTTTGTTGGGATGGGTCACTAAATGCACCTTAAAGGTACTTGTTACAAAGTAATAAAAAAACTAAGGTTGTTCAAAACATTATCTGCAACAGGTAAGATATTACTTGTTTCAAATGATTTGATAGGTTTAACACGTAGAACACTTTGTAACACAGACAAAAGAAGAGAGGAGACGAGATTAAATTTGTCATGAGGAGAGCGCTGGGCAGGAAGTAACTTCAGTTACAAGCCACTCAACTCTGAAGTCTTCCTGCAGCTCATCCTTTATTACATTTTCACTTCCCTAATTACATGATCACGAAACTTGTCTAAGGGGTGGGGGGGAGAAATACAAGTTTCATGTGATACATAACAACACAAGTAATGGAACATTTTTAAGGTCATGGCACATTCGTCATTTGTCTTCACTTGTACTTTTCCCATGGCTACCGATGAAGTTGTGTTTACCGTTCCTTTCAGCTGATGCAGACTCATCCTTCGATTTTCGTTTTTGCAAGCTTGGTTTTCCCTTTCTGAGGTTCTTAAAAACAAGTTGTTGTTAGGTGAGTGAGGACAAAGTTCGCCTGCAACCATTCTGAGCACAAAACATATTAAAGGTCAGGTTAGTTATAATGTCACAGTATAAATGCAGAGTATATGAATGAGAAATCATAACGATACATCTCAAACTTAGAATCAACTTATCACAATTATCGCAGCATCCGTTTTTTTTTTAACCGACACGAGAATCCAGGTTTAACCTCTTTCTTTCGTTGTTGCACCTGAAAAGCTGGAAACATCCTGAATTTGTTATTGGAACAGCCTAAAACCTGTTGCTGCCACCTTCATGTCCGTTACAGCTGCCCCTCCACCCCTCGCTCTGCCCCTCGTGTGAACGGAAACACGGGAGAGGAGAGCAAACAGAACTGTTTATGTGCAGCTTAATTGGGGCCCTTCTAATTGCCGTGTTTGTTCCTGAACTCCCGTTTAGCCGGAGCAGAAATAAAATCACTGTTTGTGCTTGAACGACATAAAAATCTACGGGGGCGGGGGGGTGTTGTTCTACCCCTCGGACTAAACTGATTGCTTTACTCAGGCTTGTGTGTGCATATATTCACTTTTTTATGATTACAGGCTTGTTGTAGCTGAATTCAGTGTGTGCGCGCGTGCTCGTCACACTCCACAGCCAACCGCTGATTACACAGCACTTGTTTTGTCCTCTCGCTCCGCTCTGTTCTGCGGCTTTTGTCAGCCGGTGAGTCGGCACAGAATCAGGTGGAGTTCTTTGTCCGGCGTTCCGAGCTGCAGGGAGACACGTCTGTCTGCTGTCTGTCCGACCGTCCTCCCTCTCTCTGTGTGTTTGTCTGAAAGCCAGTGTTGTCAGCCTGATGACGTTCAGCAAATAAAGAGAGGATCAGTTCTGTTCCACTTCCTGTCTGGAGGCTCTCTGGAGTTTTGGATGAACTCCAACAATTAAAGCAAAGATCTGGACACAATGAGTCACGACTCTTAAAGGGCCAGTGACTTTACATTTTCATCATAAACATGAATGCATTTTTGGAAAGGTAACATTGATAAGATATTGTAAAAAAAAATCACATCATAGAGATAATTAGTTGTTGAGATATTCGCATGTTTGGTAACAGGAAGTGATGTCAAAGGGGAATGTTTGCATGTAAACAGAGCGTTGCAACGACTAACACAGACTGTAGAGAAGAAACTGATGTTGCTGTAGATTATTTTCTGTCTCTATCAGAGAGATGAAGAAGACCAGAATAAATCCTTGCAGAATAAAAGAGCAGGAAGAGTTCCCCTTTGATGTCACTTCCTGTTTCACTTCAGCTGACTCAAGTTTAAGAAAAATGTCATTTATGTAGGAAAATGGGTAAAATTGTGTCAGGTTTCTTAATATAAAGGTGTTTTCTTTGACTTTTTGTATTTGAAGGATATTCATGTCAGTAACTGCAAAATTCACCTAATCAGCATTTTTGTGTGTTTTAAGTCCCCTTGGGTGTGGCGGCCATCATGAATTGTCTGTTAGTGTGTGTTGACAGACACATACACACAAGTCTATGATTTATTTAGATAAGAACTGGTTTCTTAAACCAGACGTTGCATGAAGATTTCTTTTCTTATGCAACAAACCTTCTTGATAATCTTTATTTTTTAACCTCATGTTAGGAAACCAGACATGCGACGTTCATCCTTCCTGTTTGCTGTGGCGTGACGGGATAATTCAGTTGAGCAATAAAAATTGGAAAAACCCTGAGTGAACAGATGCTGGGAAAGGTGCGGGGCGACGTGCATTCCTTCAGTGATGTAAGGTCTTTGTAGCTTTATGTGGTTTGAGGCGGTGTTAATTTTTATCTTGAGTAAACGTGTCCTTTAGTGAAGAGACTGTCAGAGCAGCGAAGCTCCGCCCTGAAAAGGAACGTCCTGTTTGTTGAAGCTTGACTCGCTCCGTGTGCAGTAAATATATAATAAAAAAAACCTGACGCTTGTGCAGAAACTCAACGACAGCCCTGCTCGTTTCTCCGTCAACATAAAACATTTTGAATTGGTCTCGCGGGCGCCGCCGCTCTGACTTACAGCAGCCGTTAAAGCGAGCGGCGCTGACGTCGCTCCATCAAGTTATCTCCAGCAGCACATGAGCTGGATGTGCTTTATGTGGCCTGACTGCACAGCACAAAGGCGCTGCTTATGGAGCGACGCGTGCAGAGCCCGCTCAGGCCTGTCAGGCAGAATCTTTCACAGGTTTTTATTGGATTTACAACGACTGAGCGCGTCGGCCTTCATTTTCTCTCTCTCTCGTTTCGTTCTTTGTGCCTCTGCAGGCGCTGGCTGCCAACGCCGGCACCGGGTTCGCCGTGGCCGAGCCACAGGTGGCCATGTTCTGTGGGAAACTCAACATGCACGTCAACATTCAGACGGGCCGCTGGGAGCCCGACCCGTCCGGGACCCAGAGCTGTGTAGGAACCAAGGAGGGCGTGCTGCAGTACTGCCAGGAGGTGAGTCACAGCGACACGCATGCCTCACCATCCTGTCCATGTCATGGAGGTGTTGAAATCCAAGCAGCTGCAGGAAGGAAGTGACAGAGTGGCTCTTCATCATTAGAACAGACTTTAACTAGTCATCATTAGAATAAGATTTAATACAAGTTTAAATACACAGATTTTAATTGAGAGCATTGTAGTTTAGCCCCACAACAAGCTAATCTGCAGCCCGCTGCTTTAGTTTGGTACAACAGGGATTGTACACAGATTTACAGAATACCTCTTAATATGAGGTGGAGTGAAATGAGAGGATATATTTGTGATAAAAATTAGATGAGATATATTATGATTTTGATAGGTTATGATTTTAGGAGATGTGAAATAATAAGGCCAATGAAATGGATAAAAAATGTAGCGTCTTATAAGATGTTAAATATAACATGATGTTATTATTGACATGAAATTATAGATGAATTGAGATGGCATGACAGACAGACATGACATCTTATATGTTATGACATGACATTTGGTATTAGATGATATTAGATAAGTGGGATGTTATGACATTGAAATATATAATTTATATATGATGAGTTGTTATGATGTGACATAAGATAAGATATGAGATGTTATGAGATGATATGTTAATAGATTTACAAAATGAAATTGTCAAATGTTATATTCCAATATGTTACATGTGAATACAAATTTGAGTTATATGATATATCATGTAATGATATTTTATGAGATGTTATAGGATGATAAATATAGAATAATATAATGAGACATGAGATTAAAAAAATTGAGAAAAGATGCTAATATGATATAAAATACGTGAGATAAAATGAGCTAGGATATGATAAACATAATACATGATATCATATTATATTCAAGGTAAAATGAGAAGACATTTTGGATATACAGTGCGTAATTAGGTCAGATGAAATACGACATGATACAAGGATATGATAGATGAAATGGTATGTGATGATAACATAAAATAGAATTGTATCATAATAAAAATAAAATGATACAACACATGATATATAAAGTTATATAAGATTAAATTAGATGATTATGGAAGATTAAATTGTATTTGTGATGTAAACTAAATGAGATGAGATGATTTAATATATGATATTGAGTTGTATATGCTAAAATAATGCAGGTTTTTTCTTGTTCTTCTTGTTTCAAATCAACCTTTTTTCCCCCCAAAACCTATTATATAGTATTGTAAATAAAACTAACAGGGTGTATCATAATACCAACAAATGTGATCATTTTTCAGAGTTTCATGAGTGTTTCTCCACATTGAGGATGTTCTCGCTCTCATTTATTGGTTTATTGAGGAAAGTGAGGTTTACCATGAAAGAGAAAAGGCTGCACACTTCCTCAAAAGTTTCAGTTCCATTTCCTCGATGACATTTTGTTGGCATTTTGGGAAAAGTGCAAACTTTGCGTGCTCTTTCACAGCTGAGCAGGTGGCATCTAGTCGGCATAAAGCTCAGATTAAAGGATCTTATTGAAGCTCCGCTCATACTTCCCACCAAGGAAGCAAAGATTAAAAAAAAAACATCCATGTTGCTTTTAAATCTTTAGCAGTTCCTAAAACCATTAGAGGTAGTTCCCCTTTCTTTTGTGATTCTCTTTTGTGCATCAAGAACTGTGTCTGGTTGTGCTTTTAGAGAACTTATTTTTATTAGTTCCTGCTCCTTTGCTCAACAGAAACCCACAAGTAACAAAAGAATTATTATTGGTCCAGATGTGAGGGAAAGTGTCTGATTTAAAAATGCTTCAGAGCCAAAAACAGGTTAATGTTAAGATAAATGTTGAAAATATTAAAGGGATAGAAGTGGGGTTCTGTTGAGAGATTATCAATTAATATCTTACCTGTCATAGATGACTTTTTGACAGTTAGAAGAAATAAAGCTTAACTAGAGAAACAGCCTTATCTATAATAAATGTGACAAAAAATGTTGGTCTTTAACAGACTGTTTTAAATTTACTGAAAAAAGCTGACACTGAGCTGGAAGTTATTTGTAGCTTCCTGCTAGCTAAAAGTACCAAAAGGTGGCCAAAACCTAAAAGTAGCAATTTGCTAACTGAAAATCAAAATAGTTAAAAGCTAAAATTAGTAAAAGGTTGTCTAAGAGAAGCAAAACACTGGCTGAAAGTAGCAAAATGTTCTCAAAACTTAAATGTGCATTATACAAACTAAGAAGCTAAATGCTGGCTAAAAGCTAAAAGTATCATAATGCTAGCTAGATGCTAAACGTAGCAAAATGCTATCTGAAAGTGACAAATAGTTGTCAAAACTTAAAAGTAGCAATGTGCCAACAACATTGTCAGTGTTTGCTAAGACCTAAAAGTAGAAAATGTTAGCTAAAAGCTAAAACATAGCAAAGTTCTAGTTTTAACAATTTAAAAAAATGCTGGCTTAACGCTTAAAGTAGCAAAACACTAGCTGAAAGTGGCAAAGCTTTAAAACCTAAAAGTTGCAAATTGCAAATAAAAAGCAAAATGTTGGCTGAAAGATAAGTAGTAAAATAATAGCTAAATGCTAAAGTTTGCAAAACACAAGCTGAAATTAGCATATAGTCAGCAGAACTTAAAAGTAACAAATTGCAAACTTAGAAAAACGAGTTAAGATTTACCTTTTAGGTATTAAAGTGTTATCGGAAAACTTAAAGTAGCAAAACGTTAGCTGAAATTGGCAAAATTTTAAAACATAAAAGAAGCTAACTGCATATTAAAAGCAATATGGTAACCTGAAGCTAAATTGTTGTCAAATTTTAAACGTAGCAAACTGCTAACTAATAAAAGCAAAATTCTAGCTAAACCCTATAAGTAGCTATGCATGAGCTAAAGACTAAATATTACAATAACTAAAAGTTAAAAGTAGCAAAAAGCTATCTAAAAGTTTAAAAATTCTAACTTTAAAGGAATGTTAGCTTTACTAAAATTAGCACAACGAAAATTAGCATAAACATTGGTAGAATTAGCATTAGCTTTAGCGGAACTTGTGTATTATAAATTGAAAAATACAAAATAACAATTCACATACAAAGTTATACAGTTTTACTTAAAACTGAGCAGATAATTGAGTTATAAAACATGGTAATAAAGAGATTAAGAAAAAGAAGAAAATAAGCAATACCAAAACAGGCTTAATAGTTATATAAAACAGACAAAAAATTATCATCACAAGAGGACTTTTAGTTATTTTGTTAAATTGGTGCAATAATTGGGAGCTTTAGCGGAACTAGCATTAGCAGTAGTAGTCTTAGCACTGGCATTATTGCACACAGTATTTTACAACCCTCCAAACTGAGGGGGTTCAAAAAGCCATCTACAACAGGTAAGATATTGTTTATGTCCTATTTTTCACATCCCCACTTTACAAGACCCTAACAGCTTTAAGTGACCGTCAGAGTTCTGTTTTCCTGCTTTTGTAACCCTTAGTGTTTTAGATGAAGATTTTATCTCCTCTTCGTCCTCCAACAGATGTATCCAGAGCTCCAAATCACAAATGTGGTGGAAGCTGACCATCCGATCCGGATTGAGAACTGGTGCAAGAAGGAGAGGAAGGTGTGCAAAGGACATGCTCACATTGTGGTGCCTTACAAATGCTTAGGTAAGCTTCTGCAAAAACGAGCTGAATCTTCTCCCTGTTTTGGCCTTTTGTTCGAGGAGAGGAGAGTTTATGAGTCATCTTAGCCTTTGGCAGAGGTGACATGGAGGAATATTGGAATTTGATTCACTTGACTAATTCTGGCCTTTAGCTGCAGATCGAGGAGATCCAAACTGGACGGGGGCTAATGTCTCTCTGAACAAATGACTATCGGGAGGAGGAGGAGGAGGAGGTTTTATTGCTGGGGAGGCTTGTTGAGCAATAAAGCACAATCGTATTTGCCCCCCTCAGACTGCGGTCATAAACTCCCCCAGACACACGGGGTCAACAGCAGAGGAGGTCGGCTTTATTACATCTCATTTCTCCATTTCCCTGCTCTGTCACAAACAACTCCCCTCCTCCTCCGTCCCCCCGCAGCTCCACTGTAATCTGCTGTGGCAACATGGTCGTGCTCTGCTTTATGAAATGCCACGTTCAGACTCAGAGTTCGCCTCTGATGCACAGAAACGCAGCTTGTCTCCCAACGAGGACTGCGGGGGAAAAAAACAAACAAACAAAAAAAAAAAAAACGAGGAACTGAGTCTTGCAGCAGAAACAGAAAAAGCATCTTCCTCCACTTTTTAAAGCTTCTTCGTTTGGCCAAAATCCCTCTTTCTGATCAAGATTTGCCACCAAAAAAAAAAAAAAAAGCCATTAGCAGTTGCACTGGGGTGTGAAATAAGCGACAGTTTGAGGACGTATTTTTTTTGGCAAACACAGCGAAGAGGAGATTTTTCGGGGAGATTAATTGGAGAGCAAACACACAGCTAGAACGAGCCGGGATGGAAAAACAGATGAGAGGTGTTCGCAGACGAAATCGCTTCCCAAAATTTGTCCCATAAATCCTTTATCTTGAAGCTGCAGCACCGCTGGAAAGATTTTAAAGCTTTTATAGTCCTCAGTATTTTGTTCGGTTTATTACGTCTCATCTCATGTGCCGTTTCTATGGTCCAGATATAGTTTCAATGGTCCAGGTGTAGTTTTCTATGGTTNTGTAGTTTTCTATGGTTTAGGTGTAGTTTCTATGGTCCAGATGTAGTTTTCTATGGTTTAGGTGTAGTTTCTGTAGTCCAGGTATAGTTTCTATGGTCCAGGTGTAGTTTTCTATGGTTTAGGTATAGTTTATATGGTCCAGATGTAGTTTACTATGTTCCAGATGTAGTCTCCTATGGTGTAGGTATAGTTTCTACGGTTTAGGTATAGTATCTTTGGTCCAGGTGTAGCTTCCTTTGTTCCTTGTGTAGTTTCCGTGGTCCTGAATTAGTTTTCTATGGTTTAGGTATAGTTTATATGGTCCAGATGTAGTTTTCTATGGTTTAGGTATAGTATCTATGGTCCAGGTATAGTTTCTATGTTCCATGTGTAGTTTCCGTGGTCCTGAAGTACTTTTCTATGGTTTAGGTATAGTTTATATGGTTTAGGTATAGTATCTATGGTCCAAGTGTAGCTTCCTTTGTTCCTTGTGTAGTTTCCATGGTCCAGATGTAGTTTTCTATGGTTTAGGTATAGTATCTATGGTCCATGTGTAGTTTCTGTGGTCCTGAAGTAGTTTTCTATGGTTTAGGTATAGTTTATATGGTCCAGATGTAGTTTCCGTGGTCCAGATGTAGTTTTCTATGGTTTAGGTATAGTATCTATGGTCCATGTGTAGTTTCCTGTGTTCCAGATGTAGTCTCCTATGGTGTGGGTATAGTTTCTATGGTTTAGGTGTAGTTTCTATAGTCTAGGTGAAGTTTCTATGGTCCTGATATAGTTTTCTATTTTCCAGGTGTAGTTACGATGGTCCAGGTGTAACTAAAGGATAACTTGAGAAACACAAACCAGCCCTAACTATAGGGTTTATCAAAGCCAAAGCCTCAGTGCCATTCTTAAAATAGACAGGGTGTCAGCCAGGAACAGAAACTGGAACTGGAAGTTGGTTCCATCAGAGAGAAGCCTGAGAAATGAAAGCTCCGCCTCCTATTTTAGAAACTCCAGGAACCACGAGTAAACCTGGAGTCTGAGAGCGAAATGCTGTGTTAGGCATATTGGTTGTTGTTGAAAGACAAACACAGAATTCCAATAATAACACCAAAACTAATTTCACATTTAGCTCGACTTGTTCTTTGATTTTTAATCTTCTCATTCAGCTGCAGAAAACAACCTCCTGGTTTTTTGTTTAAATTTCATCATTTCTAAGCACAAAATGTGATTGTTTGAATCCAGAGGTGTGACTGATTTGATATTTCCTCTCAAACCCCACATTTTGAAGCTGCTGTGGTCAAATGTTGCACCAATCTGAAGCTTTTAATTTTTGATTATCTGCAAACAAGACACCTGTTTTAATTAAAACAATCTGGATCAGTTCAGTCCTGTCACTGCTTGTTTCTGCACATTTGATTTTGTCACCGTTCATAAAGGTCGGTGGCTTTTTGTTCAAAGGAGTGACAGAGAGATAAACATGAAGCTCTGGCACGAGGGAGGCTTTCTGCTTAATTATGTAACGGAGTCTCCTGAGAGGGAGCTGGGAGCTGACAGGCAGCTGAGAATTATTCATCATCCGAGATGTTTGTTCATCTAGTCTGTCAGACAAACGTCCGTCAGATGTTGGATTTTTCACTTTTTGTCGAATCGAGAGGAATAAAAGAGGAAGTTCAGTCATGCCGAACCAGCGTCCATGTCAAGTTTCAGATGAATTATTCAAATAAAGGAAAAAAATCAGAGAGAAATCCATTCTCAGCTGAAACCCCTCCATGTTTCCTGCCTCCAAACAATCGTTCTTTATCCCACAGCTCTATAATCCCTGCAGGATGATGTCTTTGTCCAACAGCGGAGGATTATTTCAGATTTATTATTTGTGAAATGGTCAGAACTGAAGTGTGACTCTTTCAAAGTCATTAAGGTAATGGGGTTTATTTCAAACTGTAGCTGCTTTCACTAACAAAGCTGGAAATCCAGAACAGACTTTTACTTCAGGCCAGCCTTTTGTTACTTTAGCTTTTGGCTATAATTTAACTACTTCTAACTTTAAGTTAGGCTTTTATTACATATGGTTTTAACTATGCTTGTGCTATATTTTGCATCTGGCTTTCAATTTGATTTGTTTTGCCAGTCTTTTGCAACATTTGCTTTTAACTAATGTTTTGTTACTTTTAGCTTTAAGCTAGCATTTTGGTTACTTTTGACTTATACTGTATTTAGCATTTCACAAATTTTTGCATTTTTGTTTTACCTACCTTTTGCTATAAATAACTTCTAGCTACCTAACCTGTTGCTGCTTTTAGATTATATTTCTATTTTAGCTTCAGACTAATTGTCTCCCAACTTTTGCTCGTTTGTTCATTTTTGATTTCTGCCAGTCTTCCGCTGCTTTTGGCTTCCATCTTTCTGCTACCTTTAGCTTTTAGCAAGTGTTTTTCTACTTTAAGCTATTGTTTAGCCTCTAGCTACATTTTGCTCCTTTTAGCTTAGTTAAACTTTTGTTACATTGTGTTATTTTTTTCTTCTAGCTAGCAGTTTGATACGATTAGCCAGCCATTTGGTTTTAACTAAAGTTTGGCTACTTTTAGCTTTAATCATTTTGGATACTTTTGACTGATATTTAGCATTTCATTAATTTTAGTTTGCATCTAGGCTTTTGCTGCTTTTTGGTTTTAGTTAGCCTTTTGCTATATTTCCTGTCTAGCTAGCAACTTGATACATTTAGCCAGTCTTTTGCAATGTTTGCTTTTAGCTAATGTTTGTTACTTTTAGCTTTAGGCTAGCTAGCTTTACTTTTATTTTACTTTTGACGTATATTTAGCATTTCATTAATTTTTGTTTTAACTAGCCTTTTGCTATAGCTTCTAGCCATAACAAAAGGCTAGAACGTATAGCTTCTAGCTGACATTTTAAGGCTTTTTGCTAGCATATTGATACTCTTAACTAATATTTCTATTTAGCTTTTGACTAACATTTTGGGTACTTTTGGACTACTTTTAGTCTTTAGGCTTTTGTTACTTTTGACTTTAGTTAACCTTTTTGCTACTTCAAGCTTTTAGTTAGACTTCTGCCATTTTTAGCATCTAGCTAGACTTGATATTTTTAGCCAACCTTTTGAAAACTTTGTTTTTAGCTTCCACTTTTGTACTTTAAGCTTTTACTCAGCTGTTTGTCAGTTTTGTATTCAAGCCAGTCTTTCGCTACATTCGGCTTTAATCCTCCTGCTACTTTAGCTAGTGTTCTTCTACTTTTAGCTAACATTTAGCATCTAGCTCTCATTTTGCTCTGTTTGGCTTTTACTTAGCATTATGTTCTTTTAGCTTTAACAGCTGAGTTTTAGCCTCAGCATTCTGCAATTTTTGCAATACAATTAAATTAGTCTATTTTGTTTAATTTTACATAGATAAATAGCTAAAAAAGTCGAAATAAAAAAGTCATCCTTTCAAACAACATACAACAGCTAAAACTAAGCTGAACTGCTTTAAGTCCTTTTATTTTCTGATCTGTCTCAGTTATTCAGGTGTTTTCTCCTTTAGCTCACCTTCTTGTGCTCAGACTTCAGGTAAATTAGCCGATAAATCCTGTGATAAATTCCAACATCATCAGAAATAACAAGCCGATGACAGATTCAGGCTTGTTTCAGAGCGCCGCTCCTGGGGTCGCCACATTCCTTCACCTTCAGATTTAAATTCTGAGTAACAGTTTGCACAAGACAAACCTTTCCAAATATTTAAAAAGCAGCTTGGGTTCGATGGGAGTCTGCTGAGTAAAAATGAAAAGTTTAATCCATTACGTAATCCTGACCCACGTTTGGTTTTATTCATGACTGTAATCCTGATGGCAGATCAGATTTCTACATAATCCCTCATGCAAACATAAACAAAAGGTTAAACCCGACTAGACCTCTAACCCTGATTGAACGCTGCAGTTTGAGATGTGAGAGTTTTGGTCTTGCCTCTTCTTTTGCTTTGTAACTGAATACAAATTTAAAATAACTGGAACCACATTTGTTTAATGTTTTGCCCTTTTTGTTGCTATCGTCTCACAAAGACTTCACAGGCTCTGCTTATTTACTTAAAATCAAAATTTATTTTAGATACTTGAGGAATTAGAAGTTCAGAACCCAGGTAAGATGAGCTGATGTTACAGAAAGTATCTTGTACTGTTAGCGGAGTTAGCTCATACTGTTAGCAAATGTAGCCAATACTGTTAGCAATGTTAGCTGATATTATTAACAAGGTTAGTTGAAACTATTAAGAACGTTGGTTAATATTGTTTGCAAGGTTAGCTGATACTGTTACCAAGGTTAGATGTTACTCTTAGCATGGTTAGCTAATACTGTTAGTAGAGCTGGGCGATATGATCAAAATTTTATATCACGGTATTTTCAACATTTTCACCGGTTTCACGGTATTTGACGGTATTTTTCTTTTCATCACAGCTCAGCTGATAATAAAATGTACAAACCCTGCTTATTGACTTTTTTTCTTTTACTGTACCTCTGTCTGTGTCGCTGTTTCCCTCCTCTGTGTCTGTTCTTCTCTGACTGGTGGTTGGAGACAGTAGTCATGCATTTTGGTCCAGTCGTGAAGGAGGAGGGTTAAGAAAAGATTATGATCGGATTTATTGTTTTATGTTATTTATTAAAGCTTATCAGCACGACTCACCTTGCACACCAGTCAATCTCCATCAGCATAACGTCTCCATATTAACTAACCGCGTTAAATCTAACTGTGCACGTCACCGAAGAGGTGTTTACTACATTCAGCGATGGTGAAAACGGGATGTTTTTTTAAACGTCAGTCAATATAAGCAGCAGAATCGCCACCCGCGGCTGCAACTAGCTGCTCCAAACATTATCATGCTAACGCACATAGCGGTGCAGCAAAGAAAAATGTCCCCCGGGAAACAACAGTTCACTAGCGGCCGCGACAATACGTTCTGCTTATTAAACCGGAATGTCCGGTATTCAAAAAATTAATATCATAACAAAAATAAAAACCGGTATTCGGTACAAAACGGTATACCGCCCAGCACTAACTGTTAGCATGACTGTTTTATGGTTAGTGTGGTTCGCTATTATTGTTAGCATGGTTGGGTGATATTATTAGTAAGTTTAGCTAATACTGTTAACAAAGGTAGCTTATACTGTTAGCATGGTTAGCTGATACTGTTAACATGGTTAGCTGATACTGTTAGTAAGGTTAGCTGAAACTGTTAGTAAGGTTAGCTAATACTGTTAACAAAGGTAACCTATACTGTTAGAAATTTTAGCTGATGTTGTTAGTGAGAATAACTGATACCCTTAGCTAGATTGGCTAAAGCTACTAACAATATTAGCAGGTACTTCTAGCGAGTTTAGCTGATACTGTTAGCAATGTTAGCTGATAGATGGGAGGTTTATGGACCGTTTAGTGAAAGTAGATTTGTTGCTCTTATCTACACCATGTGAAATTACCTGCTGTGAATTCGGTTCATCTGGTCTTTTGATCCGTCCGTCTGTCCATCCATCATTTCACTGCAATGCGACTGTAGATGGTTTCAGCTCAGAGTGTGAAGAGATGAGTAAAAAAACATCGGCTGAGGTGCAGGACTTGGAGGATTTGATAGATGATCTCTTTTTTCTTTTATAAATGAAAGTCTTGGGGTGTTTGCAGCCTTACTGAGGAGAAATAAAGATCTGTGATGCGTAGATACAGTAAAAATGAGTACTTCATAAGAAAACAAATATATACAGTATGTACACAAAATGTTAAAATCTAGTATTTAACGTGCTGATTGACTGCTTTCAGAGTAAAAATACACGATTTTGTAATTTTGTGTTATAGTTACAGCTCAAAGTCACAAAGCAGGCTGGTATCAGGTCTGAAGGGGGTCTGGGTGTCAGAGGGAGGGTTCCTGTACCCCCCAGGTGGAAATGAGAAGCAGCTGTTGAGCCCTCTGCTATTTCCAGCTCTTCTTCCTGTCCTACCCTCTCATTTTCCAAAACACCACCTCCACCCTCCTGACTAAAGCTCTGCCATGAAAGGTGGAGGGCGATATGCATTCCTCCAGAAAATCTCAAGTGTTTACTTCCGTCTGAGCATCTTATTTAAATTTTAACAGATTTTTTTTTTCTTTTTTGCATCTAGAGAAGCCTTTCAGTTCGTTTATTTCCTCTGCTTTTCTATGCGCTCTGAATAAAACATGAATGAATTTAAATCATGAAGAAAATGATGGCATTGAGTCGCAGGAAGAGTTCTGACTTCTTTGTAAAGACTTGACGTTTATAAAAACTGGATTTTCTCGGCTGCCGTTCCGACTGCAGATGCAGTTAAACAGGATGATCGTCTCTTTTAGTTCTGGTTGTTCACACAGGTGTCAGAACTCTGAGATGTAAAAAGACCAGGCAGCTATGAATTATTGAATCTTTTTCTGCTCATCTCATCTGTTATTCTTTTTTAGTCACTTCAGATGATTTATTGCCTCCATCCCCAGCAGCTTCTTTTTTTTTTTTCCAGGTCGGGGACAGATCGGTGCTCTGACTAACAGACATTTTGCTTTTTGTGATTTCTCTCTTCTTCAGTGGGAGAGTTCGTGAGCGACGTCCTCCTGGTTCCAGAGAAGTGCAAGTTCTTCCACAAAGAGAGGAATGACATGTGCGCTAGCCACCAGCAGTGGCACCGTGTGGCCAAAGAGGTACCACAACAACCACTTCAGCTGATGTTTGTCAGCTGAGATTAGAGGAGGAAGTCAGGAGCATTGCTTTTATTATAAACACAGGGAGGAGAGCTGGATGTTGGCTGAAATATGTCCGAAAATTAGATGCTAAAGGTAAAAGAAGCAGAAAACTAGCTAAAAGTGAAAGTAGCAACACTTTAGCTGAAAGCCTGAAGTGGAAAGAGGATAACTTAAAGGAGAACAATTATGGGTCCTAGAAATGTTTATGGTATGTCTGTGGGCTATCCAGACCATGTTCATTCAATTTAATGCACAAAATAATTCTCAGATAATAAAATTTCCCATTTTCTAGTTCTGCCTGCTCTGACTTCGGTTCAGAAGAGCTGTTTATGTTAATGAGCTCTGTTGGTAACGCCCTCCAAAAATCTGTTGAMATTAACTCCGCCCTCCAAAGCCAGCGTTTACGTTAGCATGGCTAATAATAGCAGAAGCTCCATTGTACAACCATATGAGACCCAGAGGCAGAGTCGTGGTCCCAGCTTGTTTTTTTTTTCTGTCCCTCCTCTGCTCTGCGCTCACTCTGCATGCTGTTACCAGAGCAGGGAGCAGCAGCGGTCAAAATACCTCAGAAACTCGAACAAATAGGCTTTAACAAGGCTTTAATAAGCTAAACAATAGAGGTACATGAGAAAACATGTTCATAACGAATGAAAATAAATAAATAATTAAATTGTGTTCATGCCAGTCTCAAACCCTGGTCTCCCGCTCTCTGGTCCAACACTCTATCCATTACCCTATTGGAAGCTTGTTGTAAAATGAGCTGCGCATTGCACAACAACACAGTGACGGCTCTTTATACTGCGAAGGTGGAGCCTCACCCGGGGGTTGCTAGATAAGGGGCTGAACGCAGGTTCCGGTGGGTTGTCATACAGCTTGTGACATCACAAAATGACGGAAGTATAAAACTTGTCGTTAATATACAGTAAAAATACATTTACTTACAGTAAATATGCCCCTGGGTGCATTTTTTTTGGTCCTAGGACTGTTAAGCAGTACTTACCCAAAGTTGAGTAAAAAAAAACCTTTAAAAGTGAATTTTGCATAAAAGGTCCCCTTTAAAAGCTACATGTATCAAAAGGCTTGCTCATTGCTAAATGTAGCAAAAATGCTAACTACAAGCTAAAAGGCTACTTAAAATCTAAAGCAGAAAAACACTAGCTAAAAATGCTTAGCTATAAACTAAAAGTAGCAACACACTAGGTAAAAGCTAAAGACAGCAAAAGGGTAGTTTTAAAAATAGCAAAAAGATAACTAAGACCTAAATGTATCTCGTACTGTAGTTGTATAAGAGCTAAATATAGCAAAAGACTAGCTAAAATCTTAACTAGCACAAAACTAGCTTAATGTGTCAGAAGTCTAGCACTAGAGTTGAGTTTCATTTAATGTGTTTAGAGTTTGGAGGGACGTCAGACATCAAATATCTGCTCTGAAGCACTAAGAGAGTTGTTTTGATATGGTTTAATTCCAGTGTGGTTCCAGCTCTGTGTTCGAGTCTCAGAGGACCTGTGATCTCAGGCTGACTGGGAGCGCCAACATTTCAGTTCCTAATCAGATTAGTGTTATGGCTGTAACACAGCTAATCCCCCCCCCCCCCCCTCCGGTGGATCCGGATCGGGCCTTGGGGACCGCTCTGACCGTGATGGCAGGAGCAGGAACTTTCTCTGCCGACAACCTTCTAGTCTTCTTTGTTGTCGAAACACTTCGAAATCTTTCAACTGTGGGATCTTTACGACAGGAAACGTGTTCAGTTGTTTTATGTATGAATGTTTTGGTTTTACGCGGTGCTGACGGGACCTGCCGCCTTTGCTCCGCCCCCTCAGGCCTGTTCCCGCAGCACCATGGTGCTGCACAGCTACGGCATGCTGCTGCCCTGTGGCATCGACAAGTTCCGCGGCACCGAGTACGTCTGCTGCCCCGCCTCCCGCTCCAAGGAGTCCCCCACGCCCACTCTGACCTCCCAGGAGGTGGAGGAGATAAAGAACGAGCAGCAGAAGATGGAGGACGATGAGGTGGACATGGACGATGACGAGATCGTAGAGGACAGGTGAGACGCTGACAAAAACAAACAAAATGTCTGCAACACAAAGATGCTGAAGTTTTCCAGTCTCCTCCTCAGCGAGACGCCAACCGAGGAGCAGACCGATCAGAAGAAGACGCCTTGGGAAGAAGGTGAGCAGGATGTCCGCAGGTCCTTAAAAAGTCTTAATTTACTTATCTAAAATTTAGACCTTAAAAAGTCTTAAATTTGATAAAAAAATGTGCAAGTTGGTCTTAAATTTTGTCAGGCAGAAGCGATTAAAGTTCTCCCTCTCCCCCGGCCGTCTGCAGCTCATTTCCTTTTGAGAAAAGAAAAAAACTTGTTGTGATGGATTAACTGACGCTGCTTTCAACCAATAAAAAGAAGCAGAGTCACAGTTTTAGCCAATCAGAGCAGAGCAGGGCGGGTCCTGCTGTCTGAGCAGATACTGCAGGTGAAGTAATCAGAATTGATCGGACTTTTCCAAGGACCTTTTTTTTTCTTTTCCCGACCCGCTACCAGAACCACCCGCCCCAAATGAAGATGAAGTTATGTAATAAATTATTAAATGTCTGAATGTTAAACGCACGTGGTCACACATGACCAGTTCACTGCAGCCAGAACCGAGCCCCGACCTGCCCGGTCTTTTTTATCTAAAGTCTAACTTTGTGTTAAACGTTGTGTTCAGAGCATTATTGATATTTTACTATAAAAGCACACCGGGCCAAATACACGTGAACATTTCACATTACTGTGATACGTAAACATCATGTGCAACTTAAGTGCGTGACCAAACTCCGACAGAGAGAGTACGTCACAGCGGGAGTTCAGTGTGTCTCATGGTGAGAGACAGGTTGTAGCTGCTGCTTCAGGTATTAAACATTTATTAACGCTAAAAGATGAATATTTGTAGACTCCAGATCACAGCAAAGACATTTGTCTCACTTTAAATTTCATTTTCCCTCAAACTCATGAAGAACAAGTTAATTCTTCAAAATATTTTAACAACAATGAGGTGTTTTGTCTGTTTGGATGTGCTAAACTTTTATTACCTTCAGAACTATACTACTAACTGAACTGTGTTAAATATAATTCATAAATGATCAAATGTGAAACATAGTATGACTATGATTGTCACTAGCAATAGAAAACCTTTGACCATAATAGATCACAAGTTACCTTCTAGAAGGATGTCAAATCATCAATCAGTACAACTGCATGAGCTGTAATCCTGTAAATATTCCCTTTGAATAAAATGTTGATTTTAGGGGAGAAATATGTCAAACTCAAAAAATAAATAAGTTAATTAATTAATTAAAACATTTAAAAGAACTTACGGGTAATTTATTCTTTATAAAGGAACATTATGTGCCATAATTTTTCAAATATATCAGATTACCTCAATTCAAAACACTGATATAACATAAAAATAAGCTACAGAAAGTTGTTAAAACCTCTCTTCCTTCAGACATTGTTGATGCTGCAGGTTAAAGTGTTTGTTGTTTATTGACTGTTGTCTGGATGACTTCTTTTTGTATAAAGGCAACACTGGAGGTAGATGTATTTTACGTTGGTTGTTTCCAACCAAATAACTGCACGTAAAATACAGCAAATTTAACCAGAGAGCTGAATATCTTTATATTCACCGTGTTTTACTGAGTGACACACATGTGCTTGGTTGTAACACGGTAGAATCCCCGAATCATCGCTTATATTTTTTGGTCTTAAATTTCATTGAAGGTGGTATTAAAAAGGTCTTAAAAAGTCTTAAATTTGACTTACCTGCAGATGCCCTGGGTATAAAAAAGGAGGAGCAGCAGAAGATGGAGGACGATGAGGTGGACATGGACGATGACGAGATCGTAGAGGACAGGTGAGACG